ACCGACACTTTGTTCGAGAGATGTGTCTGAGTCCCAAGAAGAGTTACAGTTTGTGCCGGACCCGCCGGGATGGCGGTCCGTTAGGATGGAGACGAAGAAGGAGGTAGAGATGGAGCTGGAGGGGACAGCGCAGCTCCGACGCAGACTCCACACGCAAGTACTCCAAGATCTGCGAAAGTGAAGAATGACGAAAAACAGACTGCAGCTGGGGTATACCCCCAGCGGACTGACTGGACTGGACTGGACTGGCCTGGTACCGACCGTGGTACCGGGCGGGACTGGACTGGACTGAAACAATATACGGCCTGTGGGGTCAGGCCACGGCCTGGTCCCACAGGCCGAACTGGCAAATAGCCAAATAGGCCCTGGCTGTAGGCCGGGGCAGATGAAGGCCCGCTGCACAGCTTGAGTGGTCAGGGAAGGACCCAAAGATTCTTGGACGATGATCAGTAGAGGTCCTAAGGGTGAACATTTCGTGGTAGAGGTTGATGTAGGTGGCCGCAAAGTGGGTGCCTTCGCAGACATAGGCTCTACACGGAATTTCGTCAGTCGTGCTTGTGTGGATAAATTGCGCTTAGGGGACCAAGTGCAGCGGCTTAACAGAACTGTAGCTTCTACGCAGACCAACAAGCACCAAATGGTAGTCAAAGACTATGTCGAGGACGTAGTCTACTCCTTCTCTTATGGAGGAGGGAAAGTAAGACACAAAATCTCATTCCTTGTCAACGACAAACTGCCTTTTGATATGTTGCTAGGTACCTCGAGGTTGCTCAACCTCGGTTCGATTGGGATAGAAAGGTGTCAATCCACAAGGTGCCCAATGGTAAAACCGTTAGACTGCAAAAGTATAAAACTAGCAGTCTAGTGGAAAACTACGGGTGCATGTGCGCAACATCCTTTTATAACTACTATAAGCAGAACCGGGAGGAGGGCATGCATCTAGTCTTTGTCTCTGAGAAAGGGGAGGCCGTAAAATCACCCCCAGAGATAGAAGCAGTCGTCGCGCAGTATTCCGACCTTTTTTAGGAGTCCACAGGCGTGGTGGAGAGGGAGGTGGTCCATGCGATAGAGGATGTCCCAGGTAGTAAGGTGCCTAGATGACGAATCTATAGGATGTCTCCTGCGGAGTTGGATGAGCTCCGCCTTCAGTTAAAGGAGCTAACAGAAAAGGGATGGATTCAGTTTAGTACCTCCCCTTTACGGCGCTCCAGTTCTATTCGTTCCTAAAAAGAGAGGTACCTTAAGGATGTGCATTGATTATAGGGGCCTCAATGTCATCATCGTAAAGAACGCAAAGCCCCTACCCCGCATCGACGACCTATTGGATAGAGTGCAGGGATGCAAGTACTTTACTAAGATAGATCTAAAGTCCAGGTACCATCAAATTGCCATTAGACCTGAGGACCAACACAAAACCGCTTTCCAGACCAAGTACGATCTGTACGAGTTTGTGGTGATGAGTACCTGGAACATTCCAGCATGCAATTAACAAGATTTTTCATGAATACTTAGACAAGTTTATCATCGTGTACCTCAACAATATTTTTATCTTTAGTAGGACTGTAGAGGAGCACGTTGAGCACTTGAAAATAGTGCTAGTTCTCCTAAGACAGCACCAATACAAGGTGAACTTGGAGAAATGCGAGTTTGGTCGCACCAAGATCTTGTACTTGGGTCATGAAATCTCCGCGGATGGGTTGAGGCCGGCCGATGCTAAAGTGGCCAGCATACGAGACTGGCCCAGACCTCAGACTATTATTGAGGTCCGATCGTTTTTGGGGATGACGGGAAACTATCGTCCATTTGTTAAAAACTGTACTACTATAGCTTCCTCATTAACAGATCTAACTCAACTTGACACCCCTTGGGAGTGGACTGAAGAGTGTGAAGCAGCCTTCAAGAAGCTGAAGTATGCGCTGATGCACTACGAAGTCCTCAAACTTCTGGATCTTGAACAACCCTTTGTCGTGACCACGGACGCCAACCACTGTGGCATAGGCACGGTCCTTGCGCAGAAGGAGGGGAAAAAGTTGAGACCGATCGATTAGATGAATAAGAAGATGCCGTCTCAGAAGCTAGCCAAATCCACGTATGAGCGTGAGCTTTATGTCCTATATAGAGTGCTGGTCGACTAGAGACACTATCTCCTAGGCGGATTCTTCCACTTGAGATCTGACCATGAGACCTTGCGCCAGATCAAGACACATCATGTACTCTCTAACGCACTCAAGCGGTGGATTCAAGTGATAAACATGTATGACTATCAACTTGATCCAATCAAGGGAGAGTATAACAAAGTGGTTGATGCACTATCACGTCGGGCAGATTATCAGGGCGCGCTAGTGACAGAATTTGGCATATCGGATGATCTAACTCGATCTTTGGTGGAAGCCTATCAACAAGATTCAATGATGTCTTAGATCATTCGTAAATTTAAAGAGAAAGATAAATTAACTTTTGACGAATTTACGATGGTAGATGGCTTGCTGTTTCTTGAGAAGGCAGGGAATAAAAGACTGTGTTCCAGATAGTGAGTCTTTGCGTAGTTTATTTTTAAGATAATGTCATAATGCAACTGGCCATTTCGGCTATAAGAAGACTTCAGCTAACTTAGTGCAAAGATTTTGGTGGCCTTCTATGATGCAAGATGCTAAGAAGTACGTAAAAACCTGCCAGGTTCGTCAACGGGACAAACCTTGGACTCAGGCTCCGCTTGGGCTTCTCAAACCCTCGTTGATTCCTGAAGGTCCTGGTCAGAGTGTGTCCATAGACTTGATGGATACTCTTGAGACCAGCAGGACTGGCAAGAGACACATCTTCGTTATAGTGGACCGCTTTTCCAAGTATGCAACACTTATCGCTATGCCAGAGATTGCTAAGACTGGCTATATCATCAAACTGTTTCTGGATAACTGGGTTCGTGATTTTGGACTCCCTTCGTCGAAAGAAAGCGATAGGGATGTAAGATTTACCAGCGAACTGTGGCAGTCAACAGTTGAGCAGATGGGCACCAAGGTACAAATGAGGTCAGGAAACCACCCTGATTCGAATGGCCAGGCAGAACAAATGAACCGAGTACTACAGCACCTGCTTCGGCATTATATTAAGCCAAGTCAGGATGACTGGGACGAGAAGTTACCTCTCGTCGCCAGCCTGTACAACAATGCTGTGCACAGTACTACTGGTATGACTCCCAACCAACTGCATCTTGGTTGGAAGCCCAAAACTGCACTTGACTTTCTGCTACCCGAAAGACAGCCCGCCGCAGCACCTGGCAGCATAGAATTTGCTGTCAAGTACGAGCAGATGCTGCAGCAGGCCGTCGAGCATGTTAGAAAATCTCAGGATGCTATGATTGCATCTGAGGGCCCTCTAACTTTCAGGTAGGTGATAGAGTCTGGGTCAAATCATCTGAACTGGGTCAAGAGCTGGGCATATCTTGCAAATTGATGCCACAGTGCTTCGGTCCTTGGGAGGTCCTAGACATAGTCGGGGATCAGCAAGACAGACCTTCCTATGTGATTCACATCCCACCTCACTTACGCACACACCCAGTTTTTCACGCCTCAAAGCTGGCACCTTTCGCAGAAACTGCACAGTTTCCCTCCAGACGGTCAATGCTGCCCCCAACCATAAATGGTGAAGTCGACATCGACGGAATCGTGGAGCATCGAATGACGCCAGTACCTAAACCGCCGGGCATCTAGATTCAGACATCATCTAGATTTCAGCGAAGATCAGTGGTTCACCAGAGAAGAACTCATGCGAACATCACCTCAAGTTATTGCAGGCTATGAAAGAGAACTCAAGGGGAAGATGCCTGCAGATTAGAAGACTTCTGAGAGGACTATCGAAGAATAGGAGGAGGGAATGCGAGGATCTGGGTCCTCGGCAGGCCTAAGGGGGCCCTGTTGTAGATGTGCCCGCCCTAAGTGAAGGCGGGCCTGACAAATCAGGAGAGGCCCTCGGCTGTCAATTTCGTATTTGGGGTCCAGACAGTTGTGACATGCCAGTTGGTTGGGGAAAACACAGGCCGAGCAGCAAAGGCATTTCCACGGCCTTCCAGGCCTTTCCTGAAAATGCAGGCCCTGCGCGAGAATCGCAGCCTATCGCAGCCTCATACATGGACAGTTGGGATGCCCAACCGAACGACGCCCAGTAGCTGCAAAGGAGGCGCAGCCCCCTGGGGCCTACCGGAAGCTTCTGGGCCGAGGCCCAGGCCAGCCAGGCTGCGAAAGCAGACAGGCTCTTTCCATATAGGAAAGAGCTCGCTGCCAGGGCATTCATTCAGCGCACTTGCATGGTGGTGCCAGCGCTGCTGGAGCGGACGCTCGTGGGCTGCTGCTGGCGCTGAGAGGCAAGGTGCTAGCACGTGCGGTCATGTACGATACAGGGCGCTGCTGAGGGCAGCGCCATAGCCCAGCCTTCATAGCTGGCTGGGGCTTGGTCTACAGTGAGGCGCAGAGGTGGTCTTCGGGTTTACAGAGGGAAGACGTGGGTGTAAGTCAGGGGAGAGAGGATGATGATGATGATGATGATGATGTGAGGGCACATGCCTGGCATTGGCAATGGTCTGCTATGGGCGACATCTTCAAGTACTTTGTTGGCTGCTGATGTCAACAGTTGCATTGTCAATTAGTAGGCTGGTAGTAGCTGTGTAGGGAGTAGGCTGGGCGCCGAGCGCCAAGTAGAGAAATAGGCCTGGACACATATGTTGGTGGTGGCGAGAGCAAGCTCTCATTGACATTGGTTTTCAGTGTTACGATTCTCCATTGGTGTCATATTGGTGCAATGCTGCTTTCTGGACACTGTGATATGATCTGGCTCTCAATGTGATTGTGCAATCTGAATATTGTCATCTCTCTACTGTTCATTTTCCTTGCAGTTGTAAGAGTGTAATAAAAGTTTAAAATCTAAAAAGTCTAATTCTGATGACATTTTTGGTTGCTTGCTTTTTAAGTTTTTAAAAATTTTGGGACTGACTGTCGTCGATTTTGCAGTTCGAGACCCGCCGGTGCAGCGGAAACCGTTGAAGCCCCGAGAACATGATGTTGATTTGACTTCCCGGCTTGGAAAGACGCAGGTGATATTTCCATTTCCAACACTCTGTCCTTTTCTTTTTTTTTTAATGAAAAACAGGTCCTTATGGCCCTGGCTCCATATCTATTCTGGGGAGCATCAGTTCGGTTCCTATTTGGAAGTGCTTTCTTTTTTTTTTTCTCCCTCAACACATATCTGGAAATTACTAGGATTTTTTTTTTTAAATAATAAATACTTGCACAATCACATGCACAGCGTCGAGTCCAAATTCAAATCGTACAACGCACCCTCAGATGATCTCACGTTTTTGTCCACACCACACTGCACTCGTTTCTTTTCCTCTTTTTTTTTTTTTGGCCGGCGATCTCTTTTAATTACTCAACGATCGATCCATAAGACATAAATTGAAATCATCTATAGATCATACTTGCGACGCATCGGCCCTGTGCGCTGCGCGGTGCGCTGTGCACAGGGCCGGTGCGCTGGGGGGTGCGAGATGGCGGGCCGCATATGCGCCAGGTGCACACATCATATATATTTTATTTTTTATTGTTTATGTTGCATTGGAACACACACACACACAGTGAAGTGCCTCGCAAGCGACTGCAAGATCTGCTTCGCCAGCGCCATCAACAGCTTCACCTGCGCACACACAATCCACAAACAGCCCAGGTGTCAGCCGCTCTTCAACACTTTTCAAAGCAAGCCCTCCTCCCTGCCCCTCAAACCCTCCTCCCCGCCCCTCAAACCCTCCTCCCC